CATAAATAAATGGATGGGGGGGTAGATAGATAGATAGATAGATTAGATAGATAGATGATAGATAGATAGATAGATGATAGATGACAGATGATAGATAGATAGATAGATGATAGAGAGATGATAGATTTAAAAGATTAAGTCAATTGGATAGATAGATTAAACAGATTAAATAGGTTGGATAGACAGATTAGATAGATGGACAGAGAGAGAAACAGATACAGATACAGATAGAGAGAGGTGGGTTGATATATATGTCGTCTCTTTAAGAGCTTGCAGGGTTGCAATCTAGAGTATGCTCTGTCTACAATCTTGTATTTGTTTTCAGATGCTTTGGTACCCCGCAGTTCCATCCATCCATCCATCAATGCATCACCAAGCACCTGCTGATAGAAGGAGTGGTACAGCACGAACACGCCCTACAAAGAAGACATTTGCGTAACGGGGCAGAAGAGGATAAGGTCAGCAGAAGGCTTTGTTTTCCCAGTTAACACAAATTGTTTTGGTGCTAGAGATGGAGCTAAAACTTGCCAACCTTGCTGTAGGCCTTGGGGACACAGGGAGAAACACAGACACCCTCTCCTTTCCTGGGGCTTATAGTCTAAGAGGCAAATAACAAACAATTTGGAACCAGAGGTACAGCTCAGTGTTAAAGCCTGGGTTTTAGCATGCCTGAGGCCCTGGGTTCAATCCCCAGCACCAAAAGCTAATTACCATAATAATCCATTTCAAAATAAGATTGCTTCATTTAATGCCAAGTGCTGTGCAGACAATGGAAGAGAGCAGTCAGGCTGGAGGAACAAGATGCTTCTCGACGTGAGTGGTCCAAGGAGCAGTCAGAAAGAGGTATTTACTAAAGCAAACTATTCTAAAAGAGAAGATGAGCCAATGCAAAGGCCCTGGGGCAGAGGGAGCTCACCTGGGAAAGTACATGGCTCAACAGGGCTGTTGCAGCACAGTAGCCGAGAGAAAGAGAAGTAGAGGTGTGAGATGGAGGAGGAAGTAACCTCTGTTACCATGGTGAGGATCCTGGACCATATTGTAAGTGCCAGAGGACTGGAGTTGAAATCCCCTTACCTGGATGGTAACTGAGAGTTCTAGTAGTCTTTGGGGCTCTAAAAGAGGTCAGAGGCCTCAGCAACAGAGAGCTGTGGAGAAGCTAATCAGGTCCTTACCTGACTCTGACCCTTACACTGTAGAAAGAAATAGAGACTGAAGACAGCTCATTTGGTAAGGGTTTGTCTTGACACATGAGGATCTGAGTTTGATCCCCTGAGCCCACGTTTTAAAAGCTAGGCATGCTGGTACACTTGTAATCCCAGCACTGGGAAAGTGGATACAGGCAGATTCCTGGGGTTCACTGGTCAGGCAGCCTAGCTGTATTGGCAAGCCCCAGGCTCCAGTGATAGACTCTCTCTCAAAAAGCAAGGTAGAGGACTGGAGAGATGGCTCAGCGGTTAAGAGCACTGGCTGCTCTTGCAGAGGACCCAGGTTCAGTTGCCAGCACCCACATGGTAGCTAACAATCATCCATCCAGCTCTTGAGATGCTCCCTACCTGCCCCTCAATTCAGGGGGAAGTGTGAGCCATGTGGAGAGGCTGCATGGAGGGCCTCAGGTCTCCGGTAAAGCTGAACTCTGAGAGACAGCAGATAGCACCAAATGTCAGCCAAGGGAAGGACTAGCTCAGACATTCCAGCCCAATCTGGCCTCAACCAACTTGGGTGGGTAGGTGAGGGAAGACCTAGTCACCATGCAGAATTTTCTAGTCTTAGAAAGAGGGGAAGGCATAGGAATGGCCCTGTCTGTACGCAGAATCACAGGATCAGGAGTCTCTCTGACCACTGGGCACAGAGACAGAACACTACCAAGAAAAACTGCTGAGGCTAAGCCAGGGGACAGGGGAGGGGCGGCTTGCCTCTTCGGGAAGTCTATTTTTTTAATTTTAATTTTATTTTTTATGTGTATGAGTGTATTGCCTGCATGCACGTGTGTATACCTGTGTTGTGCAGTGCCCACAGAGGACAGAAGAGGGCATCGGATCCCCTGGAACTGGAGTTACAGACGGTTGTTAGCTGTCTTGTAGATGCTGGGATTCAAGCCTAGGTCTTCTGCAAGAACAGTCAGTGCTCTGAGCCATCTCTCCAGCTCCTCAGACAGTCTTTTTCCTTGGTTGCTGTGGGAAAGAATGAGGCTCAGACAGAACACAGCAAAGCAGAGACTGAATGGGAAGAGAGAGGAAGAGGAAGAAGAGGAGAAAGAGAAGGAGGAAGAGGAGGGAGAGGAGGAGGGAGAGGAGGGAGAGGAGGGAGAGGAGGGAGAGGAGGAGGGAGAGGAGGAGGGAGAGGAGGAGGGAGAGGAGGGAGAGGAGGAGGGAGAGGAGGGGAAAAAGAAAAAAGGGAAAGGAACGGGATAGAAAAAGAAGTGAAGGGGTAACTGAGGGAAGGAGGGAATGAAGGAGGGACAGGGAGGGAGGAGGAAGGACAGAGCGCCTCTTGCAATCCTGAGGGAGAGGAGGGAGAGGAGGAGGGAGAGGAGGGAGAGGAGGGGGAGAGGAGGGAGAAGAGGAGGGAGAGGAGGGAGAGGAAAAAGAAAAAAGGGAAAGGAACGGGATAGAAAAAGAAGTGAAGGGGTAACTGAGGGAAGGAGGGAATGAAGGAGGGACAGGGAGGGAGGAGGAAGGACAGAGCGCCTCTTGCAATCCTGACATACACTTATCTTTACAGTTATAAAAGCCAATAAATAACCTTTTGTTAAAAGGCCTCTTTAGAGGTTCAGGTGCCTCCTGCCTTCCAAAAGCTCGCCCAAGCAAGGGATAAAGAATGCCCAGGAGAGCCAGAGCACAAGGGAATGACTGTCTGTTGGGCTGGCAAGGTGGGAGGGGCTGACAGGAG